ATGGCCATTCATTAAATAGCCTAGCCCTGTGCTAGGTACTGAAGATACGGACATGAATGACATATAAGCCCTCCAGCCTGACCTCATGTCTTTGCCAGGACAATCTTCCCTGCTTTCAGCAAGTCAGTCCCCTGCTCAGGGACCTATAAAGGAACCCTACTGCCTGTCCAATCAGTTCTAAATTCATACTTTACTCTCTTTCATTCACTCAACAAGTGTTGCTGAAGGCTTATTACATGCCAGGCACTAGCACTAGCACTAGTACTAAGTATAAAGCAAGGGACAAAATAGGCATGGGTCCCAGCTTCAAGGAACTTACTCTAGTCAGGAAGAACAAAATAAAAGCCAAAATCACAGAAATAATTATATAATTACTATTGTTTAATTACAGTTGTTATAAGTGATATAAGGGGTGCCTATCGGAGTGTATAAACAAGAGATCAGATACACCCTATTCCATTTTATCTTTGTAAACTATGACTCCGCCTCCACAGTAGTAGTTTGAATCTTTTTATAATCCTATTTCCTCTTACTATAAAACTTGAAATAAGGTGCTTAAAACTGTAAAAACTCCACAAACACTAATTTAGTTTGTAAGGTAATTTACAATTCTCCAGACAGGTGAGTTGATGAGGCCCTGATAATGGTGGCAAGGGCGGATGGAAAAGAAAAGTTTTAAAAATATGCAGGGAGTAAAATTGATGTGTTAACTAATAAATAAGGAGGGGAAGAGAGAAGAAAGTTTTAATGGAGACATCTAGAGGGCAGAGGAGAAATAGATTATTAAGATGATTATTTTAATTTTGGACATGTAAATTTTTATAAGCCTCTGAAATATTTAGGTAGATATTTTGGTAGGCAACTAAAATTTAAGCATAGAACTGAGGAGTATGTTCAAAGCTGTAAATACAGCTTTGGAAACCATAAGCATATGGGTCCCCGAATAAAACCATAAAAACAGATGAAGTTGGCTCTAGAGAGTACGTAAAAAGAGAGGACAATTATCACCTTTCATCATCACCAAATCTCTGCGTTTCAGGTACCTTAAATTCTGATGCTGTCCCATATGACTATTTTAAAACAAGAATCAAATTGCCAATTCTTACAACTCAATGATAAAAAAGATTATAACCCAACTAAGAAAATGGGCAAGATATCTGAATAGACATTTCTCTAAAAGAGATCTATAAATGGTCAATGAACACATGAAAAGATGCTCAACATCATTATTAGGAAAATGCAAATCAAAACCATAATGAGATACCACTTTACACCCACTAGGGGGTTAAAATTAAATGTCAGTTTCTCAAAGTAGCAGCTGACTCATAGACAAGGAGAAGGGACTAGTGGTTACCAAAGGGGAGAGGTTGGAGGAAGGGGGAGGGAGAAGGGGATTAAGGGACACAAGAATTTGCAATCATAATATAGGTAGGTCACAGGATGGTAGTATAGCATGGAGAATACAATTAATTACTCTATAATTAATGTCTTACTACATTAATAGACAGCGGTCACAATGGAGGGGGTTGAGAACTTGATAATATGGGTGAATGTTGAACTACTGTGTTGTGTATTTGAAACCATCAAAAGATTGTATATCAATGATAGTTTAATAAAAAAAAATTAAATGGCAGTTCCTCAAAAAGTTAAACATTGTTACCATACAAACGAGCAATTCCACCGGTAGGTACATTTCCAAAAGTATTGGAAACGTATGTTCATACGAAAATTTGCACATCAATGCTCATTCATAATAGCTAAAAAGTGGAAACCACCCAGAAGTCTGTAACTGATGAACAGATAAATAAAATGTGATATATCTATACAATGGAATATTATTCACCAATATAAAGGAATGGAATATGAATATATGCTACAACAGGGATGAACCTTGAAAATGTTACACTGAGTTAAAGAAGCCAGTCATAAAGGTCTTTATATTGTATGATTTCATTTATATGAAATATTCAGAATAGACAAAAATAGAAATAAACTAAATCTGAGATTCCTTAAGATGAGGGAGGGTTGCAAGGGGAGAGAGGTGGAGAGGGAAATGGGCAGTGACTATTAATGAGTACAGGGGTGTTTTTTTGGGGGGGTGATGAAACTTCTTAAACTGTGGTGGTAGTTGCACAATTCTGTAAATGTAATAAAAACCATTTGAATTGTACACTTTAAATAGGAGTATTGCATGGCATGTGAATATTCAATGGTATGAGATATACACAATGAAACTATTTTAACAAATCAATGGCCCTTTACAGGTATCAAAGTACCTCACCAGCCAGGTACCATAATTTTTTTTTTAATAGATGGGTAAAGAACAGGTGCAGACGGTAGAATCTGGACTTCCAAGTTTGGACCCCTTCCACTATATTATACTGCTGTGTGCTTGTGACACCATAATTGTACATGCCTCTAGCAGTTAAAAATTATAGTTTGCAAATGTATGTATAAAGGTTCTACCTTATTAGACCAATAACTTCTTCCAAATAGAGACTGTGTCTGATTCCAGTGCATTAAGATCTGGTAAAGTGCTTTGGCATTTAATAGGTGTTCCAATGAAGGTTATTCAGTTACTTAAGATGTACAACCGAGGCCAAATAAAAGCAAAACACAGAACTCAGTATACGGATCTCCGCCCTCTGCAACCAGAGGCAGGCACAAAAACAGAAATAAAGCGGAGGAAAGGAATCTGGAAAGGTGAAAACGGAGCGTATCGCCAACTTCTTTCCTCCGCCTCAACGGTTTCCCTTTGAAGTTTTAGAAGGAATTCAGACGTGGCTGATGACATCACTATGCCCCCCAGCTACCACTACAGAGGACCCTCTACTCGCACACTTTCCCGCCTCACGGAGACTGAGAGATAGGGGGTGGGAGGGTTGCGCAGGGGCGGGCTTACGTCACGTCCGGTAGGGGACGCGCCGGCGCTGGAAAGGGAAAGCCGGGTGCGAGGGGGCGGAGCCAAGAAAGCGCGCGTTCTGGGAGGGGGAGGAGCCGGGTTAAGGAGCGCCGCGTCACGTCCGGAAGACTTAGAGCCCGTGCGGAGGCGGTGCGGAGCGCTCGGGTTCTCGCGGCTTGGGAACGAGTGAGTCCTGTGAGGCCGCGGCGGAGCTTCTCTATAGAAGGCGCAGGAAGTTGGCAGCTTCGATTGAAGCACATCGGGAGACGACAGCTGTTAGGAGTCATGAGCGACAGCGGCGAGCAGAACTACGGCGAGCGGGTATGTAGAGGTGGCTCAGGGGGCGGTTGTGTGATTCCAGCTTCTTGCATCTTTTTCCAGGCCTATCGGCCTTGACCGGGAAACGGGCGATTTGGGCTCTGGAGTCCGAGGCCGGGAGGAGGGGAGTCGGGTTTAAAGTCCAATGGGTAATGTGTTTAGTCGCGTGGGAGTCCACCGGCGGGTTTCTGTGGCCCCGTACTCTAGATGGCGGTTTTTTCCGTTATGAGGGGTAGGTGGGGGGGCGGGAGATAAAAAATGGCCGCTGCGTCCCCTCGGTGTTGGGGGAGGGGAGCAGTATCATATTTCGCTGTTGCTCGCCTGCGAAGCCTCACCGCAGCCATCTTGGGCTGGCGGGCTCGGCGAGCTGCCAAAGGCACAAAATGGCGGAGGAGCCGCGCGTCCGGGCGCGCCTCATCGGCCGCGTGGGGGGTGAAAAGAGAGGGGCGAGGTTCTCTGGGGTCTTTAGCCCTAGTTTTAGGTCACGAGAGGATCGTCTTATGGGCCCCAAAAAAGATGGAATCTGAAGAGTTATTGGGGCTTCTTTTAGGATATGAAGAAAACCTGAGGTAGACTAAGTTCTGGTTCCGTTAGTTTGAGGTTAAAATGTGATATATCTATACAATGGAATATTATTCACCAATATAAAGGAATGGAATATGAATATATGCTACAACAGGGATGAACCTTGAAAATGTTACACTGAGTTAAAGAAGCCAGTCATAAAGGTCTTTATATTGTATGATTTCATTTATATGAAATATTCAGAATAGACAAAAATAGAAATAAACTAAATCTGAGATTCCTTAAGATGAGGGAGGGTTGCAAGGGGAGAGAGGTGGAGAGGGAAATGGGCAGTGACTATTAATGAGTACAGGGGTGTTTTTTTGGGGGGGTGATGAAACTTCTTAAACTGTGGTGGTAGTTGCACAATTCTGTAAATGTAATAAAAACCATTTGAATTGTACACTTTAAATAGGAGTATTGCATGGCATGTGAATATTCAATGGTATGAGATATACACAATGAAACTATTTTAACAAATCAATGGCCCTTTACAGGTATCAAAGTACCTCACCAGCCAGGTACCATAATTTTTTTTTTAATAGATGGGTAAAGAACAGGTGCAGACGGTAGAATCTGGACTTCCAAGTTTGGACCCCTTCCACTATATTATACTGCTGTGTGCTTGTGACACCATAATTGTACATGCCTCTAGCAGTTAAAAATTATAGTTTGCAAATGTATGTATAAAGGTTCTACCTTATTAGACCAATAACTTCTTCCAAATAGAGACTGTGTCTGATTCCAGTGCATTAAGATCTGGTAAAGTGCTTTGGCATTTAATAGGTGTTCCAATGAAGGTTATTCAGTTACTTAAGATGTACAACCGAGGCCAAATAAAAGCAAAACACAGAACTCAGTATACGGATCTCCGCCCTCTGCAACCAGAGGCAGGCACAAAAACAGAAATAAAGCGGAGGAAAGGAATCTGGAAAGGTGAAAACGGAGCGTATCGCCAACTTCTTTCCTCCGCCTCAACGGTTTCCCTTTGAAGTTTTAGAAGGAATTCAGACGTGGCTGATGACATCACTATGCCCCCCAGCTACCACTACAGAGGACCCTCTACTCGCACACTTTCCCGCCTCACGGAGACTGAGAGATAGGGGGTGGGAGGGTTGCGCAGGGGCGGGCTTACGTCACGTCCGGTAGGGGACGCGCCGGCGCTGGAAAGGGAAAGCCGGGTGCGAGGGGGCGGAGCCAAGAAAGCGCGCGTTCTGGGAGGGGGAGGAGCCGGGTTAAGGAGCGCCGCGTCACGTCCGGAAGACTTAGAGCCCGTGCGGAGGCGGTGCGGAGCGCTCGGGTTCTCGCGGCTTGGGAACGAGTGAGTCCTGTGAGGCCGCGGCGGAGCTTCTCTATAGAAGGCGCAGGAAGTTGGCAGCTTCGATTGAAGCACATCGGGAGACGACAGCTGTTAGGAGTCATGAGCGACAGCGGCGAGCAGAACTACGGCGAGCGGGTATGTAGAGGTGGCTCAGGGGGCGGTTGTGTGATTCCAGCTTCTTGCATCTTTTTCCAGGCCTATCGGCCTTGACCGGGAAACGGGCGATTTGGGCTCTGGAGTCCGAGGCCGGGAGGAGGGGAGTCGGGTTTAAAGTCCAATGGGTAATGTGTTTAGTCGCGTGGGAGTCCACCGGCGGGTTTCTGTGGCCCCGTACTCTAGATGGCGGTTTTTTCCGTTATGAGGGGTAGGTGGGGGGGCGGGAGATAAAAAATGGCCGCTGCGTCCCCTCGGTGTTGGGGGAGGGGAGCAGTATCATATTTCGCTGTTGCTCGCCTGCGAAGCCTCACCGCAGCCATCTTGGGCTGGCGGGCTCGGCGAGCTGCCAAAGGCACAAAATGGCGGAGGAGCCGCGCGTCCGGGCGCGCCTCATCGGCCGCGTGGGGGGTGAAAAGAGAGGGGCGAGGTTCTCTGGGGTCTTTAGCCCTAGTTTTAGGTCACGAGAGGATCGTCTTATGGGCCCCAAAAAAGATGGAATCTGAAGAGTTATTGGGGCTTCTTTTAGGATATGAAGAAAACCTGAGGTAGACTAAGTTCTGGTTCCGTTAGTTTGAGGGGATAGCGCACGGGCTTTGTTTTAGTGGAGTGGTTTTCCTTGATATCTAAAGGGCTTTAAAACCGCAAATGGTTACCAGTATCCAAATAGACTAGGAGGTTGCTGAGATTTTGTTCTTAGGGAGTAGATTTTTCCACGTGCTTGTGTAGGAGAAATTGCGGGCAGCAGTTGATGGCGCCGTTCTTTGTTTTGAGGTATTCTAATACTGTGAACCACTGCTTGTATTAGTACACCTTTTTTAAGTCTCCACCTTCTAAATGTGGAGTTCAGTGGCGGTTGATGAAATGGCAAGAATAAGACAGTTCCCAGGCTGAAAAAACGTCATGTGAAGCTTGGGTTTGGGTGAGGGGATGTGGGTAGTAATGGAGATGCAAAAATACAAGGCTTGCCAGAATCGTTCATATTTGGGGGTTGAGGAGAGTTTATTGGAAGTATAGTAAAAGTACCTTAAAGCTTGATTTTTTTTTTCTTAATATAATCGGTTGTTTTTGCAGTTTCCCTGTTAGATTTTCCTTTTCCGGTAGAGCCACCTTTCAATCTCAGTAGGAATTGCCAGATAAGTCTATTCAAATGTCTGAGTAAATCCATATAAAATAGATTTTGGGTAGTTTTGTTAGAACGGCGTTTTTAGAAAGAGATTTTCTGTCTCAGTTCCTGGAGCCCTAGTGATCTTAACTGTGTAACTTAAGTCAAATTGATTTGATTTGAACTAACTAGATCTGGCCTTTATTCAGATGAATATTGGTGTTTTTCCCTAGGATGGATGTTTTAGTGTAACCAGTAAGATTATTATTTAAGCTCTTTAGGGTCGAAAGTTTGGATTGAGCTCACAAGTAGTTAAAGCTGTGACTTCTGGATTCTGTCAGTGGAATATACTGATGGAACTAATTGTCACTGGACTGGAAAGCAATTTTTAAGCTCTCAGTTATTAAAACAAAAATTGGGTACTTTTGCACTGTTGAGAGAATACAAAATGACTGGTTTCTAACTAGCAGAGCTCTTGGTTGAATATATCCAGTATTGTGCTTGGGAAGATGAGAAATTGCCCAAAGAAGAATAAATCGGTGTATTTTGTGTAAGGGAAGAAACAATTGTTGGAAGCAGGTCCTAGATTGAGACCACTCGGGACATTGTCATCCCGTTAATTAGAAATTTCTGAATTGATATTTTTTTCTACGAGAATACACGTCCTAGCGTTTTTCACAATTCTGTTAACATAGAATAGGAATTAACTAAGTAGGAGAGAAAGTTCTAAAGTAAAGCTGTGCGTTATAAATCGACGGATTTTTCTTACGTAAGGGTCTGGACATCCTGGGAGAAATTTCTGACCTTTGAAGTTGTGGGATACTTGCACCTAGTTTTGATTGTCATTTGTTTTGTATGTTGATTGCTTTCCGGTTGGTGTATTGGAACCTGAAGTGGTTAGAATAGACATAAAAACAGACAAGTATTTGGACTCCTAAAGAATGCTTGGCAAAACCATAAACCTCAGTGGAACAGATTTAAATATAATGTTAAAAAGACTAGGTTGAAACAGGTCTGATTGGCTATAAATTCTTTTGCAAGTGGTGAAAAAGTTGTATTCAGGGTAATAATCTTGGACATACCTGGGATGAATAGCTTCTCTGGAGCCTGAAAAATACACTTTAATTCCACTATAGGCCCTCAGACATTTCAAGCTGTTCATGTAAATCGCTAAGTCTATAGTCTGTTGATGTAATCGCTTGTATTACAAATCTCTTAATTCTGATGGCATCTTCCCCACTCCTTTACCTGACTCTAACCAGACACTCCCATACCCACCCCACCTTCCACAGCCGTAGATCCCAATTTAACTTTAGAAGTTAATTCCTTTCCTAAACAGATTGGTTGTGTGTGTGCAATAAATTATCCTCAGCTGTGTCACTCATACAGTATTTACTTATTGTGTGAATATATTGACACTTAGAACTGTGGTTCATTGTGTCCTCTTAGCTCCTAAATGTGTGGCCAAGGTGCATTCTTGAATTTTTGTGGTTCTTAGCACATTTTTAGTTATGGCAGAGTATACCTTTTTACCTTTATCTGTAGAGTTTTTTGTGTTCAAGTTGATAGATTTAAATTAAAATCAGTCACTAATTAGACCTTTCAGATCTGGCCAAACCCGTGCAAAATAAAATATTTTTCATCTCCAAATTCAAGTCTCTTTAAGTATTTTCCAAAAGTTGCTTGCAAACATTATTTGCAAAGCAGTTGGCTAGCCCCTTTGCAAAAAGAAGTCCTTAGCAGTTAAATCCCAATTTGGAAGTCTTAAGAACATGATACAAAGAGTTGGTAGCAAATATAGAGATGCCTGGTAATAAATCTTTAACGTAATAATGGCCTCCATATTTAGGGTTTGTAAGGTTTGTGTGTTTGGTTTTGGCAGTGATGTAATTCTACCCTCCTAATGATTTTAATTCCTTTAGTTTCTACAAATTAGTCTACCTAGAGAATCCCAAAACTAAGGTAACACTATTGTGGGTAGCAAATGGTACTGATTTCTGTCCTGCTGTGCAGATTACAGTAGCAAGCAATTTAAGAAAATACTTTGGCAGGATATTGGCTATTGAAGTAAAATGTTGCGATACAAACACAATCTTTTACTCTCTGTCGGGGTGAATAGCATCTGGATAACATCCCATCAAACTGCCTTTCAGATTCTGCAGTTTTTCTCTTCTGCTTAGTCTTGGGTTGTCTTTTTGTATTCTTTGTTTTGGGCCCCACCTCTGAATTCTAATTTCCAAAACTGAACCATCTCAAAATCAATTTCTTTTAAAGAATTTTAGACATCACACCAAATACCTTTAATAAATGATTGAATTAATGTCTAATGGGAGGAAATAGTTGGCAGTGTTTTGTTTAACGGTGAGTCTGGTTAGGTCAAGTCTCTTGAAGAAACCAAGTTGAAGAATTTTTCTTGGTTTTAACTAAGGATGCTAATATTGTGGATAATGTCTGGAACTAGAAGGTGGCATTTTCAAACTGAAATTACAAGTGATTACAAGGTAAGTACTTCCGGTTTTGTCAAAAGATTAAAGAGGAATTCAGATGGTGAGAGAGGTGTTAAAAATGGAATCCGCTTTGTGTACAGCATTTTCCCCCTTTGTCTCCAAAAAAATCCAATACTTATGTGATAAATATTAACACTTTTATTGTTGAATTCACATTTTGCCCAAGGGGATGGAAAGAGCTGCAAATAGGTCTTTCTTTGGAGGAATGCCATTATGTTAATGTTGACCAGGTTTTGCACGTAATTATACTATTTTCTTAGAAGATACAGTGGTGAGATTGTTTGGGAATTTTAAGTGTTTTACCCAGTTTAGTTTTTGGGGGGTGTGAGTCGCATAGAATTAGGTATTTTCATCACTTAGTCTTGTTTTTAAAGATGCAAGCCAAAAAAAAAAATCTTCACTATAGCAAGTTAAAGTCTTCAGTTTCCCAAAAATCTTTGCTCTGAATTGCTTTTGGGTGTTATTTTCAGACTGCTAACTTTTATCAATATAGATTGTCAAGTAATGACAGCATGGGTGAGGCCCCTTTTTTGCATTGATTTTTGTGCTTAAACAAGTCTTCCGAAAAAGTCAAAAAGCATGTGTAATCTTGGTAGAAAGTACTGAATGCTTATGACGGTAAATTTAGAGTCTGTACTGTTTTGGAAGAGATCTCTTAAAAGTGTAGGGTTACAGCGGATTCAGGCATGTCAGATGATAGGGGTTTTTTGAGAATTGACAGTTTTTGAGGATTTTCTATCTACCCAAAGTTCTAGTAGAGTTTAGCTGCAGGGAAAATAAAGTAATCCTTACATGGATGTGAGCATTGACCTTTATAACAAGATCAGTGAGTTTTCTTTGCCTGTCTCCCGATTTTTAAAATACCTTGTCAATCAACCTAAAAAGTTTGCATATTTTTAACATTATGTGAACTCCATTTGTAATCCCTAGAATCATTTTAAATAAAATCCATGTTGAGGATGGGACAAGTCTGTGCTAAATTTCTACGTAGGCGCTCAACCAAATGTGTGTAGTAACATTAGCACAATAGTTGGTCTTCTGGTTATATAAAGCAGCCTCTCTTGAGTTTAGTAGCTGAATTGAACTATGCCTGATATTTACATTATCTAGCAGGGTGTTTTGTTGAATGTAGAAGAAGAAAAAAGGCTGGGAATGGGTAATGAAATAACAGCAGGAAGGTGTCCATATAGAAAAGTATTGGTATCTAGAGCTTTGGCCTCCGTTCCAGTTATCTTATGCATCTAAGCCCTGCATCTGTACATAATCTTTAGGAGGCCTTAAAAGGAAACCTGCTTGGGCATTCTGATTCCACGATTACATTTGTGCTGCCAGCAAACATCTCCCATTACATTTTAGTGATGGACATAAAA